TACCAGTGTCCCTGCCAGGTCTACCAGTGTCCCTGCCAGGTCTACCAGTGTCCCTGCCAGGTCTACCAGTGTCCCTGCCAGGTCTACCAGTGTCCCTGTCCTCCACTGTCCCAGTCAGGTCTACCAGTGTCCCTGCCAGGTCTACCAGTGTCCCTGTCAGGTCTACCATCTACCAGTGTCCCTGTCAGGAGACACCGACTGAAGGACATGTCCCTCGGAGACCAGATCAGCTGAACATCAGTAAAGTTTCTGTTGTAGAATAAAAAATGTTTTTATTTAAAACATTAAAACATAATTTAATGTTTTAAATAAATCATGAAACTATAATTTAATGTTTTTTTAATGAAATCATTAAATGATAATTTAATCTGAGCAGATTACGGTTGTATTTAATCTCCTGACTGCAGCTGAAATCTGAAGTCAGTTTCTGGGCTGTGGCTCGGATCAGAACCGGGTCCTGGTCCACAGTTATCTGATGGAGCTGCTGTTCAACACAACAAATAWTAAATCAACAGGTTCTGTTGGGCCCGGGTCCAGCTCTCATTGATCTGTCTGATAAGCTCTGACAGCAGGACGACCCGGACAGGAGACGGTCCTCTGTCCCCTGAAGCTTATTAAAAGATCTGTTATCAGGACCGCTGGTCCGGTGTGGAGGATTCAGCTCCTGAACCACAGATCTGTGGCTCCTCTGAAAGCTTTAATTAGTTAGTTACTGCAGTTTCAAGACAGCAGGAATTAATTAGGATGATCTCTCTTCGGCTGAGGGTCCAATGTTCGGCTGTTAAACAGCTGAAGCTTTTAGATGAATCAGATTCTCCTGAGGATGAATCATCAGCATCYGTCAGCGCTAATAACTTCATAATGACTGCAGGCAGCGCTGAGCAGCAGAACAACTGACAGTATATCAAGGACGAGCTGAACAAAAGCAGCCGAATGGTTTATAAAAGCTAAACCAAGGTTAGCTAAAGGCTTCCATTAACATAAACTAGCTAAAGGACTAGAAAATACATACAAAGCAAATAAACTAGCTATAAGAAGAAAACAGCTGGGTAAAAGCTACAAATAGCAAAATGCTAGCTAAAGACTAAAAGTAGCAAAAGGCTGGCTAAAGAGTAAAAGTAGCAAAAGGCTAACTAAAAGCTAAAACAATCAAATAACTGGGTAAACGCTAGAAAGTATGAAATGATTGGCTAATTGCTAAAGTAGCAAAAGACTAGCTAAAAGCAACAAAAAGTTGGCTAAATGCTAAAAGTAGCAAATACAAAATGATTGGCTAATTGCTAAAGTAGCAAAAGGCTAGCTACAAGCAACTAAAGGCTGGCTAAATGCTAAAAGGAGCAAAAAAGTACGACATGATTGGCTAATTGCTTAAGTAGCAAAAGGTTAGCTAAAAATAACAAAAGGTTGGCTAAATGCTAAAAGTAGCAAAGGCAAAGTATGAAATGATTGGCTAATTGCTGAAGTAGCAAAAGGCTGGCTAAATGTTTGAAGTAGCAAAGACAAATGATTGGCTAATTGCTAAAGTAGCAAAAGGCTAGCTAAAGTAGCAAAAGGCTGGCTAAATGTTTGAAATAGCAAAGACAAATGATTGGCTAATTGCTAAAGTAGCAAAAGGTTAGCTAAAAATAACAAAAGGTTGGCTAAATGCTAAAAGTAGCAAAGGCAAAGTATGAAATGATTGGCTAATTGCTGAAGTAGCAAAAGGCTGGCTAAATGTTTGAAGTAGCAAAGACAAATGATTGGCTAATTGCTAAAGTAGCAAAAGGCTAGCTACAAGCAACTAAAGGCTGGCTAAATGCTAAAAGGAGCAAAAAAGTACGACATGATTGGCTAATTGCTAAAGTAGCAAAAGGTTAGCTAAAAATAACAAAAGGTTGGCTAAATGCTAAAAGTAGCAAAGGCAAAGTATGAAATGATTGGCTAATTGCTGAAGTAGCAAAAGGCTGGCTAAATGTTTGAAATAGCAAAGACAAATGATTGGCTAATTGCTAAAGTAGCAAAAGGCTAGCTAAAAGTAACAAAATCAAAGCTAAACAAGCAACAAAAGGCTTAGTTAACAGGTAAAACTACAGGAAGCTAATAACCGCTGCAGGCTCTGGATGTCATGGCTGACTCGTCTCTTCACCAGCGATAGGAGGACTGGGACGTCCTGTGGACTGGCAGAGGCAGTGGAAATATTTGTAAAGTTAAATYTTTTTAAAAAGAAGGTCATCTGTATGATGCAAGAATATTTTAGTGATGAAGATGATTTTCTACAGATTTATTCATGTTTTCTGTTTTATCAGCCGAAGGAACCAGCTGAAGTAGGACTCCAGTGATTGGACTTGTTTCTCTTTTTTAGCGTCTGACTAACCACTAAAGCGTATAAAGWGCTCTTAGCTGACCACTATTAACCCACACCGTTAAACTTCAGAGTGCCAATCAAACAGCTGCCGCCTTCGGCTCTTAATGGGACCATGTGAGTGGGAGTTTGACTTTTATTCGGCTGTTCTTTAAATTAATATGGACGAGAGGCTTTGAAAGCAAATATTAAAACACGAAGAAAATTCTGTTGGTGCCTAAAGCAGCCGAAACAGCCGAGTCTGATGAAAACGTTTGCAAACTTCGGCTGATATGAACCTTTTGCTGGATGTCATCTAAAAAAGTAATTTTAAGCTGATTTAACCAGAAATATGTTGAACTTTTTTAGCTTTTTGAGCTAATTTGGCAGTTATTTGATCCTGCAGAGGAAAAACTAAGCTGAGAGAACGAGAGCTAGGATTACCT